AAATTGAAGCCATAAACAGTATGTGGATCTTAACAACTATCAGTGTAAAAATTATAGCTATTTTGAATTGCTTCTAAATAGAAATTGTAAAATACGATTTTTTTTTTGTATTATATTTGCTAGAAGTGTCTGCAATTACGTAAATGCTAAATTCAAACCAAAATCGGATGTGTTTGGGGTAGTTAAAATACCACAGAAACTATTAGAGATGCCAGTGTACCGGTACTCCCCTAAAAAAGTTCAAGTGACTAATTTGCATATGAAATAGGTTCCAATTGTTCATTCATTTATGCAAGCATAGTGACCACAATGTTTAAAATGCCCTGGGAAAATCCACTGTTTAAAATGCCTTGGGAAAATCCACTGTTTAAAATGCCCTGGGAAAATCCACTGTTTAAAATGCCCTGGGAAAATCCACTGTTTAAAATGCCCTGGGAAAATCGACTGTTTAAAATGCCCTGGGAAAATCCACTGTTTAAAATGCCCTGGGAAAATCCACTGTTTAAAATGCCCTGGGAAAATCCACTGTTTAAAATGCCCTGGGAAAATCCACTGTTTAAAATGCCCTGGGAAAATCCACTGTTTAAAATGCCCTTGGAAAATCCACTGTTTAAAATGCCCTGGGAAAATCCACTGTTTAAAATGCCCTGGGAAAATCACTGTATCGCAACTAGTCTAATTTACAGCCAATTCAGGAAATATCTATTCTACAGTAGCTTTTAATAATCTATTCTGCAGGCATGCAAGTAAATTTGTCAAATACTATATAGTTTATTAGTGTTGCCTTGTGAGAAGAGTGTTTACATGTATTGCCATCAAAATTCATTTAGTGATTTGTACAGAATGTGAATTGCAGCAGCAGTTATAATAAACATGAATAGGCATGAATAAAAATATGTATAGGGCCATGGATAAACAAAACATGTACACGGCAAATTTAATCTTTTCATTCAACATTCAAACCCTTAAAAAGTTTGCAATATCTGAAATCAATATTTACTTAACATTAACACATCGCTATCTGGCATCACTTTATACAAGTCACAAATTAGATGAAATACTGTATAAAGCGAAGACAGTCAAAGAACATCACTTGATATGAGTTTGTTCATTTGAGAAATACATTTATTCATGGGAGAACCGTAATTGCACTCAAAAGATTTAGGATACAGACAAAAATTTGAATTTCAAAAAATCAATTCAGTGAAACATGGAAGATGTTTAGCCAGCAAATATAGGAAAATGACGTAACAACGGAGTTCACCAGCACTATGAGGGAATATAATTATTGGATTTTTTGACAATGAAAATCAACTCAGCATTTGAAATTGACCAATTACTTCAATAGATATTTACAAAAATTTATATTTTGAGTTTTTGGTACAATTTGGTGTTAGTTGCTTGCCTGTATGTCCATTTGTTACATTGGAGTGTTTGTAAATCAGCCGCAATTGTATAAACAGAGTCTAGAGCGATAATGGGAGGGCATTAAGAGTCTCATTTGAGACCATTAATGTAAAATTGCATCAGGGTGTTCAATATATGTACCAAGTTTGAATAAAATCCATCCATGCACTATTGAGATCCGGTTCTGGAATGGTGAATTTGTGTGATTTTGATACATTTTTGCCCTTTTTATATTTTCGGACACGCTTAACCATGAAAAATGAGCAAATCTGATAACTGAAATTGTGGTCAGAGAGCCGAATGAACCAACTGATTGAGATAATGGGTTTGTGCATGCCTCTGTTTCCGGATTTCATCTGAACAGAGACTCAACTATGGTTCGTACATGAAATGAAAACAGTAATTGAAATCACAAAAATAAAGATCGCATTTGCCATGCAAATATTTTAATTATATATCCAGTGCCCCTAAAGTAACTAGAGAAAACATAGAGCCAGCAATGAAACATTGCATTTTTGGCATGAAATAATACCACCACAAAGTTACTCACCAGTCCTGTGGTTTCATAGACTTTGGTTAGTAATTGACAGGACAAGGAGGAGGATGGAGAAGACTGGGTGATTGGAGACACATTCTATTTATCATGCAATCATTGAAAGAAATATAACAGTTAGGGTTGCAATACATGCAAGGTAGAGTGAACTATACATGGAGAGATGGGAGTTTCTGGTGTACTTAGGTGTTACATGCAACATAAGTAATGTATCAATTGACAGTTTAGTATGAAGATTAGGAATGGAAGGATATATGCTGCTCTTATTCAAACCAATGAATTTTTATGCAAATTAAATAAATGGATAAATGGACCAGTTGGAAAATGGAATTATTGACATGCTACAGCTAAAAGTAAAAAAGATCCAGATTTTTGAATAATCTGTTTTTGTAAAGTGTATTATATAATGCATGTAGCATTTGAACATCAATGCAGCTTCATTTATGAGCAAATTTGCAGACAAAGGTCCATCACCTGCTGGAAGCTCATTACTCATCATTTTGAGGTGTACACCAGCTACAGCCTTGGGAAAACAATTTCATAGTTTTTTGCCTACCCCATAAGCTGGCTGTGAAAAATAACACATATACTAGTAGCTCATATTGCTAAGTACACTATCTGATATATAATTACATATGTGATATTGACGCACTGGTTTATCGGTTTGCACACAACCTCATCGGTGCCACAGTCAAAGTACTGGACACAGAAAAAAACACTGCTTACTAAATTACTTGCTAATGTGCTGCATTGGTCTTCAAATGAGTCATACAACAGTAGCAACACACAAAATATCATATAGACAGTATCATCTGATGGAAGAGTAATGAAACTACAGAAGATGAGAAATTAAAATAATTCAATCAGCACTTACCCTGGAAATACTTTCATGGTTTTGACTGGTAGGCATTCTCCTGTCCAGACTACGACTACGCAGCTGAACATTTTTGGACCCATACGATGACCTTGGTGTACCTAAGTCAGAGTAACTGGAGTGGGGGCGAAGTGAATCTGTAGTAACATGATATACAAAGATTAAATAGACAAGTTAATATCATAGGAACAAACAAAACCTGGATTTCCAGGGAGAAGAGCAGCTTTGTCGACTTTGACAAATGCTCACACATCAACTACGGACAGAGACAAGACAATTCAAGACATCATGTGTTTACAGTTTTCTTGCAGAGCTGGAGCAGATTTAATATAAAAACATAGAAAAAATGTTGAGTAAATCAGAAAGACTAATGTTGTTAAATTTAGTGATTTACGGATATTTCTTTTGATTTGAATTATTGAAAGTTCAGCAAGAAAACTGAAGCTCTTATTCATACACTCTTCCACTCTTCCAGATTTGGCTACTGAATCATACCAAATCCGACCAAAACCAACAGTAAACAGTTGAGCATGTTTCTAGAGGTACAAACATTGGCAGTGAAAACAAAAAATTAAAATAAATTAAAATATGTTTCACACCAAGTGTCCAGATTTGAAATAATCTGGTAGCACTAAATTGAAGTTGTATTACTCAGTAGCACAATCCCTATATTCAATTCCTGTAAATTTTTATCGCACTACAACAAAACAAGGGTGTGGCATTTTTAAACTTGCACAAACAAATCAAACTCACACAATATGGCAGACCATATGTATGTAGATGTCAAAGTAACAAAACTGTGCACAGATGTAAACAAAACGATCACAAAACAAAACATAAAAAAATACATACATATGACCCCTCTTACCACTGCAGTGCTACAATAAATGGGGACAATATGCATCTAATATGTCAAATAATATTGATACATTGTAGCTAATAATTGCCGATCATTTTTCTATCAAAATTGGTCAGTATTAAAATTCAACATTCAGTTTTTAGCATGAGAGCAGCCGGTAATGCCGAAATAAATTAAAAATCACCAAAATATGCTTTGAACACTAACATAAGAAGGTAATTTAAGGTATTTAAAATATGTATAGCAACAAATTAATTAACAAATCATAAGCAATATTTTTAACATTTGCAATACGAGTTTGCAACTGTGTACAAGTATGAGAGCACTGCAATGACCAATCGATACGAACAAGAGACCTTCTGTATTAAGACTGTTGGTGTGAGCGTTCCAATATTGTAGTTTATAGAAACCAGGCAAGCAGTAGACCAAAATAAAAAGCAGAATGTAAAACCGAGAGCTCCAAAAAGAAAGAAAACTAATCTACTTGTACATTAAAGCGTCAGTCACAAAATTTAAGAACTTTTTTAACTCAAATATGTTACACTGAAAGCAAAATTGTTTTGAGATGAAGCAAACCCAGTTTGGGTTGTCAAGATTGTCAAAAAGAAAGTCTGTCCTTTAAATATATAACGAAAGAAATTGACAAATAAGAATTAGATTCTCCCCAATGAAGAGCGGCTCCTTGGGTTAGTAAGATAATTTTCTTTATATTACCAAACATTGTATGTGCTAAAAGGAAAAACCTCAACTCTTTCACCATGACAAATTTCTGCAAATAATTTTAGCCAATTTCAGTTTAATGTTTTGAATTTTATTTTCCAAAGTTTCACTGAAATTGAAAATTGGGTTTTGATAAAAACTGATAAAAATCCAAGCCAAATTTCAGAAATGAAATGTCAAATACTGTCAAGAAATCGATAATATTGGTGAAAGCATTCAAGATTATTTTAGTAGTGGGTGCAATTTTTTATGTAAATTTAACAAGAATTTACCAAGAATTTAAATAATGATATCATAATGGTAATAATTTAGGTTTGTGGTTTCTATGGAGACAAGAAATCACACACCAACTGAAGAAACACAGAAACGTGACGGCAATGGTTAAATAGCTCTGGTGCATGCACAAAACCAGCAGCCAAGGAGAGTGCAGATAGATTTAGAATAGAAGTCAGGTAAGTCAAAGGGTAATAGAGAGCTTAGAATGTGTGTGAACATGCATCAAAGAAGCTACACGAGTCCAGTACTACTTGATGAGAAAGACTGTTAATGAACAAAGATCTGTGTCTCATGCAGTATTAAATGTGAATGAGAATGACATGCAGCTGAAGTAACACAATATTGTGTGTTACTTGCTACTACTAAAGAGAAAATACATTTATAGTAAAGTCTGATCTACACAGTTAAATGTAGGATTTTAAAATGAAATGCATGCGAGGACACAGTGGTGATGTTATTCATTAAGAACCTGTCTGCGTAGTGGACTTAGCATGTTTGAAAGGTGATGAAGCACGCCATCGTTTGGGTCGAGGGGTAATAAGTCTTGAAGGATGAGAAGTAGAAGCAAAGCCTTTAGGCTTGTGTACACCACCAGTGCTAGTAGTAGAAGCAGACAAGAAGCGTGCTTCTCTCTTATAATCCGATGCCGAGGATGTATCATAGACAGCATAGAGCTCATCAGGATCGGCTCCACGTAGTCGTATCAGGTGTATAGGGCTTGGAGTACGTGCTCTGTTCAGAGCAGTGGAGGACATAGACAGACGCTTACTCATACTGGATCCAGAAGATGCCACATTGCAAACTGATGATGAGAGACGCTTTGTAGGAGACGATATTGTTGGTACACCATGTGATTTGTCAGGTGACAACTGTTCAGAACTGTGTCTTCTGTCGTTTGGGTCAGTTGGCAGGTGACCCATGCTTATCCCAGGTGTCCATGATCGTCTCTTTTCACGAGCACTTTCTGAACGCTGTCTTGTACGCCTTAGAATAGCTTCTTTGCGTTCCTAGAAAGATAAAGCATTTGAATAAAATCATATAAATGGACTATTTGTGCATTCCTGTGTCATACGTATTTCTGTTCTATCCGCCATTTTGATATTAAAAATAAAACCAAGAGATCAGTGGTTGACTGTACTGTGAATTCCTGGCTGTTCGCTTTGCACCAATTTGGTTAAACACGAGCTATGTCATTTATGATCATCAAACAAGCCTATAAAGATATTGACAAACCTGTAAATTATGGCAGCCACATCAATTTATGTAACAAAACTACAAACACCCTTTAAAAAGTTAAAACTATGTGTTTTATTATCCTTAAGTTTTGACAGCAATTGTTTTACCTGGTCTTGCTGCTCCAGTCTTTTTCTTCTCTCTTCAACAGCAGCTCTGTGGCTCAGATCTCTGTCTCTGCTTTCTTCTAGCTTTTTATTTCGAATTTTTAGCTGACTGTCTCTATATGATTGGTAATCCTTTTCTTTTATGCCTAGAATTTAATAAAATAATGTATATTCATTTCAACATGGGACCTTTGTATGCAACATCTTAATGCAAATATCACTAGCTGATATGGCATTACAAATGTCAAGATATTCACATTCACATTATCATTTTATGCAACAAGTCACTGTAAATGACATAGTCCTTTTATGTATTACCCGGTATGACATGTATAAACTGATGTGTGATTCCTGTGTGAAGTTTGTACGAGAAATTGCTCTGTAGAACTGCATGCATTCTATGAAGATGACTGTTGGTCAACAGATATAATCAAAGAAAGCTTAGAAAGAGTATTGAGTATTGAAGACACATTAAAAATTAATTCAAAATTACTTGTACCCGAGATATTGATGGAAAAACTGAAAACTAATTATGTAAATCAGGTAACTAATAAGAACAGAACAACAAAATTATGAATTGTTATACACAAATTTCAACCCAAAATTAATCAGGCCTGTCTATTGTCCTAGTGCATTTATGTACCACATTTTATTCAAATGGGATGATCAGTAATTGAGATATCAGTGTTAATTAATTATGTTAATTAGGTGATTAATAAGCATAAACATTTACCAAAAAATAATTTGGTCTCTGTATAGTGTTATATTCATTGAAATGTGATGAGTATTCTTTAAAAGTTTCATTAAAAATCCCATTAGTGGTTCTTTATACCGTATTACCCCGGGCACGCGCCCAGGGGCCTGAACAT